GTAACTTTAGTATAAACATGTGTTTCTGTATTATCAAGATTAACTGATATTTTAATTGGGTCAAAGAAGAGATTTTGACATAAGTGTTTAATGAAATCTTTAAGTATTATAGATTGTGATAACAGAGGTAAATGGTATTGTTTTAAGAATTTGTTATAACAAGTATTTGTCTCTAAAGAAGTTGAAATATTGGTATTAAAGACATTATATATAGTGTCTTCTACAGATTTACTTACACTAGGCTTTACTGCCTGCCTATTGTCATTATTCTCCTCTAAAGATGGCCTAAATGTGGAGAACATTGTAGTTTTAGAAGTGGCAGCTGCATCAATATGTTCTGTAGAAGATATTACTAAAAAGGAGGATTTACACTTTCCTCTTATGAGGTAAGAGTAATGTTTTCTGTTGCTTTTGTTGTTTCCTTTGGGGATATAGATGTATCCTTATCTACTTCTTGAGCAGTGTTTGTATTTGGACTATGTTCAATGCAATTTTTAATTGGACATAGACAAATATAGATATGGACTAGTCCAAATCATGTCTATGTCCAAATAAAAAAAGTATATAAAATGTGATCGATCACGTGACTATAAACCAATTATATTCCAGAATCTATTAACATTTCGATACTTAATTATTTAAAACTTTAGTACCCAAAGTTGGATATCTGAAATTTTGACTTTTTAAACTTTGTCTCTAACTATTTGTTCTCTTAACTTACTGCAATTAACTATTTGACTGCCAATTGTTATAGTAGTATTAAATGAAATAATATTAATATATAATAAAACAGTATTTATTATAGCATAAATCATTGGTCAAAGATATGCAATTTGACCTTCTATATTTTATAACAATTCGGAGGTAAATTGGCATCTGATTTTTGGTCAATAGTTAAAGCTATAATTGATAGTTAGAAAAATTATAATTGAAAATTTTTTTGTGCAACGTATACAGGTTTGCAAAATTTTTCACAAGTATAAAATATTGATTTATATATTTTTTTATTATATAATTATATACAACTATTATAGTACTATTATTTCCTAATTACTATGTTAAAATCAAAAAACTAGAGTGATATTAAAAAACCAGGATACTAAAAAACTTGAACAATATTAAAAAATCAGAACACCAAGAAATTAAAACAGTATCAAGAAACTAAAACAATACTAAAAAACTAGAACAGTACCAAGAAACTAGAGCAGTACCAAAAAACTAGAATAACATAAAGAACTAGAGACATCAAGAAAACACTAATAAAAAGAAAAAGTAAACAGATTTGTAAAAAAAAAAATAAATAAAAAAAAGCTAAAAAAAAAAAAAAAAAAGTATACATCAGTATATACTTATGTAAGTTCGATAAAAAAAAATAAAAAAAAATAAAAAAGAAGATTAAAAAAAAACAAAAAAGAAAAGATCATGTTATTATATATTCTGAACCATAAATGTTAACAATAGATTTTAACAATATGATTATATAAACTCTGCATATTATTATTATATATTGTTAAATTCAGGAGCTCTAATTTAAACACGATTCTGCAAACCCACTGTGCCAATATGATTTTTTCAGTAATCAACTTAAAATCAGATATCAATTCCCTTCTAAATTGCTATATAAATATTCGAGGCCAAATAGTAAGTAGAGTTTGGAACTGAATTCGACCTTCGAATTTAAATCTAATTTTCTTCATATCTGATTTAAATTCAGATATAAAACCAATATTCTGAATCTGCAATACTCATATTATCTGCACAAACTCATAAAAAACAAAAGTATTCTATCATCATTCTTAAGTAATCAGATGTTTTTGTCACCAAGTATATATATGTATGTATCAGTGTTGTCAATTTCTTGTTCTATTGATAAAAATTATATTCTATTCTAATTCTATTGCTCTATTTTATTGTTTTATTGTTCTATTTATTTATTGCTATATTAATATCTAATTATAATCTTGTTGGCAATTTTTTGTTCTATTGACAAAAATTTTATTCTATTCTAAATTCTATTGCTCTATTCTATTGTTCTATTGTTCTATTCATCTATTGCTGCCAACACTGGTATGTATATATGTACATAGGCACAACCTAGGCACAATCAAATATTATCGAATAAATTCAGATTAAAATCTAATGCATATTTTTATTAATTAAATTTAATATGAATCGAAAAGTGAAATCTGGTTCCAAACTCTAATAGTGAGTGGAAATTGTGATGATTTTTTTTTATATAGACGATTTTAGTTTTTTTTTAGGTTGATATTTACTAACATTCAACTAAGTCAATTGTTATATGTTCGACTGGTGAATATTCAACATATAGTTTAATAGATAGAAGATAGTAAATATATTATTCTTTGTTTATTAAATTTTTATGCATTTTTATTTAATTTGTACACTAAAATAATAAGTGATCTTTTCTATTACAATCGAGTAGCACAACTTTGAAAAAAAAAAATCAATGATCACAGCTAAAGATGGGTTTGGTCAGCTTAGCCATTTTATAGCTAACCGAACCTATCCCTAATCACAGCTTCAAGTATTTGTTTTTATGATTAATCTTTTCATTTGGTAAGCATATTGTTAGAGGCACTTGAGAACAATCTAAATTAATCTATTAGTTAAATCTGCACTTTTACAATATTTTTCTATTGTACTTCCAATTTTATAGTTACCCTGGGAATATTACAAATAGATGAAGTAATGAAGAATGTGACTTGGCTAAATTGTAGTTAAAAATTGTGAACTGCATTACCAACATATAAAAAAAGACTAATTCAGGTTTAATTCATAGTAAAACTTTATTAAAGAACAGCAAGGTGTCTTTGATTATTATAAGATAGAACTAAAGAATGCTGGCAGTCATAGTCATGTATAAAAATAAAAAGTATAAAAGACTTACTATTAGCTATAAATTCCCTTTAACTTATATAGTAAGGTTTTAGAATTTAATTATTAAAATCATTAATAGACAATATAAACAGATATGAAATACTTACTATTAGTTGTAAAATTCTCTTTAACTTATGCAGTAAGGTTTTATAATCAGATTGTTAAATAACTAACAATGAAATGTAAACAGATATGAATAAACCTTACAATTATTAAGAGATAGAATGAAATAATATTATAGTCATGTATAAAGTAAAGAGTATGAAATACTTAATATTAGTTGTAAAATTCTTTCTAACTTATTTAGTAAGGTTTTAGAATTTAATTATTAAAATTATTGATAATATAGTATAAACAGATATAAAATACTTACAAGTCATAATCAAAGGTTTCAGAGTCTTATTGTTAAATAATTTATGGCGCAATATAAATAATATGAATATTTATTGTTAATCATAAAATTGGAATAATATAACAAGTTATAATCAAAAGTTTCAGAATTTAATTGTTAAAATAATTGATGATGCAACTTAAACAGTTTTAAAGTACTAAATGTTCTATTTTACTTTTTAATCTTATTTTTTTGGTTAATTTCAATTGTTCAATTTTATTACATATAAGAAAAGAGATTAGTAATTAAAAAGATACAAATCAAATAAATAGCACAAAGAATTTGCAAAAAAAAAAAAATTAAGATTATATACAATTGAATTAAAAAAAAGTATGGGAAAACAACCTTATCATCTGACTGACTTCATAATTATACTTGATAAAAAAGTGAACAAAAGTAATAAATTTTGTATTTGTAAATGTTGTGTATTAGGCTCTTTATATAACGATGCAATGAACAATAAGTTTGCAAATACACAAGAGCTTGTTCGCTGCTATTTAAAAAATTGTATTTACTTTAAGCAAGCTTATAGTGAATCTGAGCAAGCAAAAATTCTGAAAAAGTCTAATAAATTAAATAGAAAAAGTTAAGTAATTATTAATTATACTCATAATTTAAAATCGCTTTTATTAATTGACATATTTAATTTAGATTCTCAAAAGAGTTCTGATAATAATACTTTTTCAGATATTTCTTCATCATTATTAAAGAATTCTACATTTACATCAAATCAACAGTTTTCAAATAAAAAACATACAATTAATCGATATTGTTTACAACCTTTAAGTAAAGATCAACAAAAACAATTTGAGCAGCTTTTACTTCAGGTGACTGTCTCATGCAGTTCAGCTTTCTCTTGGATAGATAACCCTGAAATAAAAGCATTTTTTAAATTTCTTCATCCCTTAGTTAAACTACCTTCACAAAAAGATCTTAGTAGTCAAATTCTGGAAAAATCAGCACAAAAAATAAATATTTCCATTCAAGAAGCAGCTCTAAAAGATACAAATGGTGTTACATTAGCATATAACAGTTAAAAAAACATAAAAAAAGAATCAATTTTTGGGAGCATTTTAATTACTTCAATGGGTAAGGTCCTTATTTGGAATGCAGAAGATATATCGAATGAACGTACAAGGTGGTTTGATGTGCAATGTAAGACAGAGGATATGCTTAATAATTTAAATAAAAAAGGAATTAAAGTTAATGCTATTGTCACAGATTGTGCATCTCAATATGAAGCAGCAAAGTAATATTATATACAAGTAAACTAATTCAATACAGTGAAATCTCTATAAGTGTATCCTCTATAAGTGCACATCCTTTCCAAATATATGCTTAAATTTGGGCCCAAATCTATACATGACCTCTATAAATGCACCTTTTCTTATTATTCTCTAAGTGTATATCATTAAAGTTCAGTTCCAAGAGCATGCACTTATGAAGGTTTTACTGTATATTATTACTATTTGTACACTATATTAAAATTTTTTTAAAATCTTTAAAAAACATTTATGACAAATACATTCTGAAACCATATTTATTCCTTGCTTTGCTTATTAGATGAATCTGTATGTTGGAGATATCTTCAGAAATTCAAACAAATTTTCAACTGTTGTGGAGCAAGCTATCCATCTTGTATCTTTTTTTAACTGGTCAACTTTTTTTTTAGGTTGTCTTCGTTCAGAACAACTAGCTTTATATAAATCTTATGTTTCTTTTGTATTGCCAAATTGTATACGATAAAATAATCATTATTTGTGTTTTGCCAGTATTTTTAGAACACATGCTGCTCTTAAAAATTTAGCAACAAAAATAGAAGAAGACAATGATAAAGATCTTAATGACTTTCCTGAAATTCTTCTTACTTATATTTCAAACAATGAATCGTGGAATAACCTTATGCAATTAAAATCTCTTCTTGAACCATATATGGCATCATTGAACAAGCTTCAGCAAGATAAGAGTTGCCTTTCTGATATTTTGCATAGTTTTAGCTGGGTATGTCAAGTAATTAAAAATCTTTCTGATGGCGCTTTTAGAGATTATTTAATCACAAAATTAGAAAAGTGATGGTTAACCTAGGAACAACCATTGCTACTTTTGTCATTTTTATTACATCTATTTATCACACTACTCAATTTAATTAAAATATTGATAATCTTTCTTTTGCAGATATGGGATGTTGGATTATTTACTATTATAAAAATTGGTTCAATAAATTTTCAAATTCAATTCTATCTGAATTGCAATATTAAGAAAGCCAAGAATACTTATTTAATCAAGAAACTTTTAACCAATTTAGTAGTGATGTGCTAAAATATTAGAATTTTTGCAAAGGAATTGCTTTAGAATTACATCTTGTAGCAGTTCAAATTTTTTCAGTTTGCATAATAATGGCATCAGTAGAATGATTATTTTCTACTATGGGGTGGTACTATTTTTCATAACACAATCGGCTTAAGGTAAATTTGTTTGATATATGGGATCTTTGTCTTGAAAATAACCTTATGGTACATGATGCTGTAAGGTCATTTTCAAGACAAAGATTCCATATATACATATATCTGGTTAACTATTTTATATTTATTACATTTATTTATACTATATATATAATTTAACATAATAGCATAAAAAAATTCTTGCTATGAGCCAACTAAGATCAGAACTTATCTGTTCATGAAACCTTGCAGCTATTGACAAATCATTAAAGATATATAAACAAAATATTGCAATTCTGGTTGAAGAAAATGATGAACAAACGAGTTTAGATGAAGACACAGAAGAAGAGCAATTAATTAGTCTATCAGAAAATGATATGGATTTAGAAAATCCTAAAAAGCAAATTTGGACGAATGTTAGTCATTTCAATATAGTTAAAAGCATAAATAACTGGAATGCAATTGTAAATCAATGGGTTAGTCTAAATGAAGAGGAAGAAGTTGAAGATGACTTAAATGAATCAGAAAGTCTGTCTGAATTATATTTTAATGAAGTAGAATTTCATCCTGTGGATGACTTTACAGCCAAGTAGAAGCTAGCAAATCTTTTTATAGATTCACTAGTACAATCTGCTTATATTAATTTACTTTTGGGTGACTAAAGCATAAATTAAATTAGGTCATATAATAATAAATTCACAGTATTAAAAATTAACATTACACAGAACTTTCAATTTAAAATTTATATTTTTTTTGTATTTGTTTGTTTATGCTTCATAACAAGTTTAATTACTGTTTAAAACATATGCATAAACAAGTTTCAATATTTTTTACATATTCATGAATAAAGAATAGCAATTCCTTCTAATACTTTATTTAGCTGTTCAAGATAAATTATTACTTGTATAATTGTTATGCAAGTAATCTTAACTTATTCAAAGCTATACTGGTTTAATCCAGGATCGATAAATTTTTCTATCAAAAGTTACTACATACGTACAGGAAAATTTGTCTAAGGTCAATAACAAGGTGGCTTGGGTCGATCAACCCAAACATTAACCAAATCTGCCAGATATGGCAGAAATGGTAGAAAACAGTAACACATCTGCTAGAAATAGCAGATATGATAGATTCGGTAGATGAAATATAACAAATAGGGCATATATAATATATATAATAGAAAAGTGCAAAGTAAAAATTAGTAAACGAAAATATATTTAAACACTACAAAAATCACTGTGAATAAAGCAATTCCATTGAGTTTTAAAGCTTCTCTTGAGTTCTTAACTAATGTCCTGTAGTACTAAAAGTTACTTTCGTATTTCATTTCATCATATTCTTCTTGTCCCTGTAACTTATTTTAGACCCATAATCATTATATCATTCAAAGTAAAAGAGAAAGATCAAATTAGTAACTGACCCTTTTTTATATAAAACAATTATCTGATTATATCAGTGATCAATCCATTGTTAAATCATACATATGTAATTTGATTTTGATCATAACTATGTAATCATATTTCAGCATCTATTGATGCTGAAATAAATCACATGATCTAGTGACCCTTAGAACAAGCAGTATACCTAAAAATTAAGAAAATACAGTAAAGTCATTAGTATTGAACCAAGTTACTAAATACAAGAACTACTCACTTAAAGTAAAGAGACACTTATCTAAGCCTGATAATAACCTACAAGACTCAAAAACCTCAAAACTCAGACCAAGTCTAACCATGCCTTGATCGAAGCCTACCAATTTCGGAATTTTAGGTCTTGTTAGAAGTTGTTTTAATAGTATCAAGTTGCCTATTACTCTATTTAGTGATATTAGGGTCAAAATAGACTTTCACAACATACATATTATATATGCATTTTTGAGTTCTAAGTCATATTAATTTACATTAAAAAAAATAAAGTAAGTAATAGAATAAGTAGAATTGAAGTAATATATCAAGTAATTGAAGAAAAATAATATATTGAAATATATGAGAAGTAATGAATTGAACTTATCACTAACCCAAAATTTCATATACATATATATGCTATTGTAAAATGCTTAGGCTCTTTTAAAAAATAAATTCTTAAATAAGTGATCATAAGCCTACCTTTTGACCCTGTGTAAACATCTAGAACTTTAAATAGTGCTTTGATACTTGTTTGTATTTATATTGTTTATTAAGGTTTATATTTAGTTTATAACAGATATATATATATATACACATATATATATTATAGCCACATACCTGATTAATATACTTCTAATAAAACTACATAGCCTTTCCAATAAAACCTATAATAATAAATATATCTAAATATTAGTTCTGTAAATGTTTATATAAATAGTATAACCAGAAATGATTTCACGATTTTTCAAAAAATCTTTACTATTATTATTGTAAGTGCAAAGTACTTATATATATATATATGTACAGTAAAACCTCTATAAGTGCATGCCCTTAGGACTGAACTTTAACGATGTGCACTTAGAGAACAATAAGAACAGATGCATTTATAGAGGTCATGTATAGATTTGGACCCAAATTTAAGCATGCATTTAGAGAGAGTATGCACTTATAAAGGGTGCACTTATAGAGGTTTCACTGTACTTGGTTAAAATTATTTTAGCCAATCAAAATTTTCATATAAGGTTACACTAGTCACATGTTTAATTTGGACTAAGTGCCTATGTCCAATAAAAAAATATAGACTATATAGACATAGTTCATAAATATCCATATCCAATAGTTCATATTGTCTATGTTCATATTTGGCAAACACTGTTCTTAAGATGTAGATGGCTTAGAGTTTTGTATAAAAAGAGAATCTTTATATTGTTCTGAGATTAAAATTTTAAAGTGTTTTATCAAGAAGTCTTTAGCTGCAGAATAGTAAAATTGGTTGTAATTGATACGTATTTGTTTAAGTGATATTTTAAATTCCATTTCTAATTTAAAGTATATAATAATTCTTGCAAGTATATGAATGTCATCAGTTGTTTTGATCATTTTTTCTAGAGCTTTTTTTTGAGATAAACCTGTAAGTCCATCATTATCTCTTGCTGCTAGCATAAAAGCTCTCAAGTATTGGTAGAAGTAATATGAAGATTAGGCTGTATTACTTTTCACTTTGTTGAGCTTTGCGAAAGTTTTTTCAGTAAATATTGCTAGGCCTCTAAGTTCTTCTGTGGGTGTTAGAATAAAAAAACTTGCTGCAAGTTTTTGTTTGAAGTGGAAGATATCAGTTTCCAGAGTTGGGTATACCCATTCTTTTTGTTCTGATTTTGGGTTTTAAAAGAGTTAGTAAAATAAAATTTGGATATATTTTCTAGATTATGTTCAGTTAATTTAGGTAATAGATTACAATCTTTGTTAGTACAAAGATGAATGTAATGAAGTGCTGCTTTAAAGATTGCTTCAGAGTGCTCTTTAAAAGTATGTAGTAAGGTTGGTAGAAAGTATAATATTGGCAGTAGTTTTTTGCATTCTTCTATTAATTTTGTGATATTAGCATTTTAATATAATTGCTTGTTTTCTGTTGATCAATTTTTTCGAATTGGATGCTATATTTTTTAAAGAAAGTTTTAAACCAGGCTTCATAAGTTGTAAGATGGGGTTTAAGTGATGGGATTCTAAAGTTTTTTAAGGATTTTTTAGATGGAATATTAAGAGTTGTATTAATATTGAATTGATTGTTATTTTGGATTGTGAATTCAAGTTGTTTGAAGCTATGTTTAATATCAAAGTAGAGTGTAAATCGTAATAGTTTAATGTCAAGTTTTTTCATAAATTCTTCAAAATTGATGGTTCTATATTTATGGTTTAGATAAAGATGTAAGCAGGCTAGGTTTATAGCAACTCT